AAAATAATGAAACAGTTGATTTAAAAAATAACATAGTTGATAACTTTGTATATGATTAGGAACATTATTTTGGGTAACATAGTATGAAAAAAACAATGTTTAACTATGTAATCTTATGTACCTGTTTTGTTTTTTTAAAACATAAACAATTAAGTATATTTAGGTTAGAAAAGAATTCCAGTTTAAAAAAAACATACTATGGTTTGAATCTTCAATACAAAGAGTCCACATTAGCCCGAGAAGGCTCATCCCAAATAGTCAATGAATATAGCAGTTTACAGTGGAGTAAGTATAGAATTTGAATTCCACAATAGTTTATCATATCAACCCTAGTGACCCTCTGTTTACCATGGCAATTAAAAGCTCACGACTGTAAGACATGCAAACCTACAGACTCATCCAGTCTGAAATACATACACATCTCCATAACTTGTCCTAGCTATGTGATTGTCAGTGAACAAAAGAGTCCTATAAACATGTACCCACGGCCTTGTCCCACTGAAGGGTTTGTTGTTTGGTTTTGTTCCAGCTTCGCTCTATGAGAGCCACCGACACAGGCAAAACTGGTGTACTGCTGCTCTTGTCCGACAGAAATAAATTCGAAGGTCACCAGAGTGCGAGGTCACCGTGACCCAACTTAAGCTGGAGGGTGCTGACTTCTAAGTCTCAATTTAGGGCAAAATAATTTCCCAAACTGAAAATGTTTATTAACATTCATATGAAGTACAATCAGATGGCATTTCACAGATGCATATTATCTTTACATGATGGGAATATGATTTTTCATTTTCTACGTGACAAGTTTCTAACCTCTCTGTATCACTGGGACAAGTTCATGTATTGTGTGGGAAATTGGTTTAATCATTAGCCTACATTTGTACAAAAGGACACAACAGTATGAATTATGTTTTTCATTTTGTGGGAAAAAATTGTTTTTTTGTGATATACTGGTCCTACTTGTGTGATATATTGGTTCTACTTGTGTGATGTAGTATATCTACTTGTATGATATAGTTGTTCTACTTTGTGATATACTAGTCCTTCTTGTGTGATATACTGGTTCTACTTGTGTGATGTAGTATATCAACTTGTGTGATATAGTTGTTCTACATTGTGATATACTGGTTCTACTTGTGTGATATACTGGTTCTACTTGTGTGATGTAGTATATCTACTTGTGTGATATAGTTGTTCTACATTGTGATATACTGGTTCTACTTGTGTGATATAGTTGGTCTACAATGTGATATACTGGTTCTACTTGTGTGATATAGTTGTTCTACATCGTGATATACTAGCTCTACTTGTGTGATATAGTTGTTCTACTTTGTGATACAGTTGTTCTACTTGTGTGATGTAGTATATCTACTTGTGTGATATAGTTGTTCTACTTGTGTGATATACTGGTCCTACTTGTGTGATATACTGGTTCTACTTGTGTGACATACCAGCTCTACTTGTGTGACATACTAGCTCTACTTGTGTGATATTCTAGTTCTACTTGTGTGATATTCTAGTTCTACTTGTCTTACATACTAGCTCTACTTGTGTTACATACTAGCTCCACTTGTGTGATATTCTAGTTCTACTTGTGAGATACTACTTGTGAGGAATAAATATATAAATATTCAATAAATATTGATAATCAAACACCTCCCATTTCTCTGTAAAATACACCAAGCAAATTGGGAAAGGTTAATATATTTAACTGAGTTAACTTAATCTAAAATTACAAAGGTTTAGGTTTCTTCAATTTATTATGTAAGTTACCCCATTTATTTCACGATAGTAATCCTACAACAGATATAACCAGCAGATAAGGTACATTCCACTGAATATACACTATTTCTGGGACCTGGGATTCATAAAGGAATGTGATTCTGTTTTCATTTAGAAAATTGTGACATACAAAATGAACAATATATAAACATAAAAAAACATTTTCACAAAACTATTTCACCCCATGTTTATTTCTATTCAAATTACACATATCACGTGTGTTATATCAACTGAAATTAAACCCAATAAACTTGAATATAGTTTTTTTAAACTGTATGATTGTACATACAAGAGTCAATATCTTTTTATTAAAATATTTAGCTGAAGTTAAGTTATTATAAAGTTTTTCTCAATTTGGTTATAATCTCTTTATCTCTTACAGGGGTCCTTACGAACCTGCCACAGTTAAATACAATCAGTGTCAATTTTCTCCAGTGAAATAATAATACCCACTTACACTAAAACCCTTTACTAGCCACATAGCTGTCTTTATAAGCAGCATCTACATCTAAAGATAACCTCTATGGAATACTAGCCATAGCCTACTGTTTAGATTATTGATTTTCATCCTGGAATGGCACAACGCAATAGCTATTTTCGTGGTATGTATGCTATTCCTGTGAACTAGACCTACATCTGTCAACTGACCATTACAGAGGTTACAGCGGTTCGTGGCACATTGACCCACTGAGAAACTTGCCATTTTACGTTTCTCGGAACTCAGAGTATTACGGTGTTTCAGCATATAGGTTTGACTACCACTATATTCTACCATGATTTGACATTGTAGACATGTTTATAAATATCTGAAATGTTTTGTAATTTTTCTTTTTATATTGATTCATTTTATTGACCTTGTGCCCTACAGGAAGACCTCTAATATGTTTTAGGGTTGATTTCAGGAAAGGTATGCCATCATTATGTTTAAAAAAAATATTAATTATTATATATGTGTTGTATAAGGCAGATCTTCCATCAACCTAAATGTTATATTGTAGGACCTTACCATACATGAATATATAATTCATAATAATGACACACACAAGGTGTTCAGTCCAATGAAAATAAAAATGTCAATCTCTCTTTTATATAAGAATTAAACATAAACTTCCCGCTTTACATTCCCCATTCTCCTACCTTAACTATATGCCCTTCTCAAGCATCTAAATATATAAATGGTTCTAATCTATTATTGAAGTGAGTAAGAAGTAAGTACTCAAACTAATATTTGTTACAAACGATTTCAAAGTTGAAACTGTTCATTGTACAATAATGTTCTGATATGAATAGCTGTGATTATTTTGAATGGTGCTTTAGCTGTTATTTGATTGGATTGTTATTCGCCAACTTTAACATTTCATGGAGAGAGATTTATCGACTTAGATTAAATATTTGTAAGGAGATGTTCATAATAAAGACTTCATAATTTACAATGTTTTCATACTACTCCATACTGCAAGAAGTTGACATTTTTCATGAATACACTCTCATAACATTTTACTTAAAATATTAATAAGAAACATAGATAAAACTGTACACTAGTAGGCAAATGGTATGTTACATATCTTTCAAACCCTTGAAGTACTAAACAATCATCATCTATAATTTACCTTCTGAGTCTGTGGTTTTGAATATTTAATTCACCATTGTGTTATTAAAACCATTTCAAGAGCTTGTGAAGACTCCAAAGCATCCATATCTATGTAATGTATACCTTACTTGTATACTAATGTTTCTTAATTGGATTCCAAGCCCTTTATAATGTTAAAACATGTTTGTAATTAACCCTTGTTCTTGACTGTTGTGTATTTCAAACGTATATCGTCACTCTTCTTACATGCAGAGCTGTGTTTATTAGTTGTACTTTGTGACTTGCCATATTTATATATTTAGTAAGAAAACATACAACTTTAGGGATAACTTTTGGTTTTGGTGTAGATTCATATATCGTTATCAAGCTGAATATTATAACTCCAGCTTGTTAATTGTGTAAGAATCTACATCAAAACCTTGCTATATGCAATAAACCAGAAGTTGTTATCCATAAAAAAATTATGTTTTTTACTAACTCACCAACTTCTAGAATTCCAGTGAAACATTTACAATATTTGGTTGAACTTCATGGAAAAATAAATGAACATATTTTCTAAAAGGAATGATACAAAAAGGCAGTTCAGTTGATCTTTGATATATTATTGTTGTGTTAAAAGTGTATATTTTGGAATTTAATGAATCCTTTTCTAATCCTCCACAAAGATTAGAGTAAGTTAACTGATATTCAGCAAACACACTGACCCACATACATTTCTGTTATATTCACACTTTTGTGTAATAAAAAAACATCTTCTTCAGGGAAATATGAAGATATTCATAAGTGTCCTATCCTTTTGTGCCTCCCACCAGAGATATTAATCAATAAAGATGAAAAAAAAATATATCTATGTATGTATTTATAGAATGTGCATGATGAATGCAGGTTAGACCAGCAGACCATTAATAAGTGACACAGCAAAAAGACCTGAACTTAAATTACTGACAATGAATCTATCTCCAACTATACCATAGCATACTTTGCCTGTGAATAAGCTACTGGTTTCCAGCAGGGATATCATTACACAATTATCCCTGTTTTCAGGTCATTTAAAGTTACCACTTTCAAATCATAACATCACAAAGTATGGTTTGGTTGAGGGAACTCAGGCACATCTATCCGGCCACTAGTGTTTCTCGTGTGTGGTGTCTCTATGGCCTGCCCTAGATTCATATTGATAGTAGGGCAAGCTTCTCCTAGGGTTAGCTAATGGAGGTTAAGTTATGCAAGCAGTGACTGACAGCGAAATGCATGTAATGGATGACGATTCCCTTCATGTCATCCACTGTCAGTACTGAGGTGTCATTCAACCTGGGTAGTGACACTCTACCCCCTTTTCCATAACTGTCAAATTAGGCACACAAATAGATTAAAATTCTCTTTAAACTGTCGCTAGGTTATGGTGACCTAATGCTGTAAAATAGTGTGTGGTAAAAACTCTTGCTCGTTGACCCCATCAGCATGTTCGTCATAGTAAATGGTATCAGGCTTTTCAGCTTTCGTTCGAGCGAATGGATTCAAAATTCAAACGATGAAGAACCAGCAAAATGATGAACTCAAAAATGAAAATTTGAAGTTTAAAAAAATAAATTTGAAATTTGAAAAAAAGATGAAAAAGTATTGTACTCACCGGCTGTGGAATTATTTGTGGGGCTAGACATTTCATGAGGAGCACTCTGTGGAAAGTAAGAAAGCAGCCATGAGTAAAAACTGTCACTCCTTCTCCCCCGCGGTCTCACATGCATGCAAAGAGCATGGCAGGTTGAAGGCAGAAGAAATCTATATGCATGTCGATTGCGTTAAACAGCTGCCTTGGAAAAAACGGTCACAGTGACATGCAGTTATCTCCCTTTGTAGAAAAGCTTGAACAAGAACTGCAACATGCATGAGAATAAAACATCAATAAAACGAAGCTAAGGAACATACCTCAACAAGACTGCGTGGAATTGGGTGAAAGATCCTCATGGGTGTATACAATTGGGAAAAAAATGGAAACAAGCCTCAAGTGTTTGACTGCAAAAATATTCCGACTCCTGCCTCTATCCCTCAGGCTTACAGGAGCATTGTTCAACGACCATACATGATAAATGAAAAGTGTGCAGCTATTTTCAATCCTGTCCGTGTTTTTATGCTGTGCCTATGTGAGTGTGCAGTCATGCAGGCTGAAGTGCAGGTTGGATTTGAAAAAAATCTCACAATGAAGAAATCAGCTGCTCAAAATACTAAAACCTGTTTTTGAACTGCGCATTGCTGCGTGGATGCAAATTTGCAAATTAATTATGCTCTCTGCGTCAGATGACAGTAAAATTTTCATATGACATATAGCTTTGCATTGTTGCAGCAAAAGCCCATGTTGTTGGAAGCATGAACTGAGAGAAAGATGCAAAGTTGGGAAAAAGTTTTAAAATATAATTAATAATAGACCAGTGACTACTGTCTATGTGTTTTGTGTGATGGGAAGTAGCACCTCATTTATCACTAACTGTGTACTTGGTTCATGAAACACAAGGACAGATTCATCACAGTATACCTATTTAATAAAATGTTTGCATATATTCAAAATTTTAGAATTTTAGAATAATCCTTCAGAAAGTTTAAAATAATTTCTTTACAGATATTTCCCACTGGTGTGGATGAATTTCTTTCTATATTCCAGTTTAATTAAGCAGTTAATTTATTCAGCAGTTAACTACAAATTCTTTGATATCTTACAAACAATCATATATCATAAAATTAATTGAAAAATCATATCATAAATACCATGTTTTTCTTATCTCACAAATCAGCAAAATTAATTGAAATAATTATACAGATATGAATTGAACAGTTTTGGTCATGGTCATGAGTTGTACTGCCATGGTTCTAACTTATGTCATGCACAAAACTGGATAAACAGGGAGAACATTATATGCTCCATAATTTTATATACTTTCAATATACTTTCTATAAATCTCAGTTACTTCTGTTTGTTTTGTTTGCCATTACCAATTACATTGGAAGTGAAACTCAATTTGTTTTTGTTCCTTCATTCCCTCATTCACATATTCAGACATCCATCATCCATCAATGCATATCCATCCCTTCATTCATCCAAGTCCATCCATCAACAGAAACCATCCCACCACCCATCCATCAATCCAAACCCATCCATCCTTCATCCATCCATCCTTTCTTTCATTCATCCATTCCTTCATTCATCCATCCATTCCTTCATTTATCCATCCATTCCTTCATCTAAACATCTCTTCATCAATCCATCCATCCATCCATCCATCCATTTTCTCACCTGCAAGTGACACTGACACTCAGGTATTCAATCATGTGAACACTTTTTTAATGAATGTTGTTTTTTATTATTACCATTCTAAAAATAATGTATGTTTCTAAAATAAACAGTCGTGAAGTGACAATTAGTATGACAAAAAGTATCCCAAAGTTCAGATATAGACTATATCCCCATAAATTTCATCATTTTTTTAACATGAGGGACTAAAACTTTTAATCTGCCAGGAAAGGTAATTATCAAGTTCGATTGTCAATTTAGACAAAAACTTTGGTCAACAAAATGAACATAGCCCTTCAATGTTTGGCTAAATTTGCAATGGTTCATGCTTTCTCATTTATTTGTTTCAGGATTGATCTCGCTGTGTCACTGCTGTGTAGTTTCAGATAGGTGGAGCACTAGAGAGATGGGCATCACCCGATCAATGATGGCCTTATTGCTGAACTAGGCTGAGGACAACTGGTGGCCCTAGCATGTCATTCTCAATCTTTTAAAGTACATCAATCTATCAGTTAAAGATGACCCACATTATATAGGACAATATACCTCAACTTCACACATTGGACATCTTACAATGGAAATGGCCACCAAACTAATTGAAATAACTGTGTCTTTGTTCTTTAATGCCACTCGCAGCAATATTCCAGTTATGTGACGGTGGCCTGTAAATATTCATATCTGGACCAGACAGTCCAGAGATTGATATTATGAGCAGCTATGCGTGCCGCAAGGATATGTTCTTATGCCATCTACCAAGTCATTGACCATGACCACCTGATCATCTGTCACCTCTTACAACCAGCATAGGTTGCTAGGGATGAATTCTCCCCTGGCATTCCTACCTTCTTTATTGAGTGCGTGAGTTGTACATGACAATAACTGAGTGAGTGAGTTGGGTTTAACACCGCTTTGAACAGTATTCCAGTTATATCACGGCGTGTCAGCTTAATGTGGGAGGAAAGCCCGAAATGAAGCAGGCCCTTAGATGTTTACCACTTTGGTGAAACACGGGTATGGCGCTGACAAACCTGGAAACAAACCAGGATTCAAACTCATGAATTTTGCAAGAGCTACTTTTACCAATATTCCAGAATTATCACAGCAGGGTCTCCGAAAGGGGACTTCACTCATTGCAGGAAAGAAAACTCATGGCTTCAGTTGGACAAGCCAACACTTTAACCACTGGGCTATACCAGAACAAAGATATGGTGAAAGCATCAGTATCAGATGAACATGAGGAATCAGTGTCAGCAGATCACGATAATAAGGACACAGCTCTGGAGACTTACTGCAGCTTAGATGACTGAGCTACATGCACCCCTGTACTTAAGGTGAAAAAATAGACATCTTAACCTTAACTGACAAATTTTTTGAGACATTTGGATTATATTAATTTGAAAAGAAATGCTGCACTAGTTTACACGTCGACACCTAGAGTTCTTCAATATGCAACAGAGTCAATGCACTATGATACTAATAATAAATGCATGTCCACATACATAAAATCTGCACATTGTTTCCTGAGCTGAATACAAAGTGGCCATTAAAGTTTAACGCCACAGTTCTTTTTCATTTTTTAAATGCAAATTATATCCAACCTAATAAGCAAACAGTTTCACTATAACTCTGTTCTGTAATATGTTGTGGGCACACTACCCAGTAATGGCACAGGAAAACTTGCACCAAAGGACTGTATTTACAGACAAGAGGAAAACTTGCACTAAAGGGTAACCACCATCCATATTGTTTGATGTTCTGCATAGCAGTTGAAAATCTGCAACATTCAACCTAAATGCTCAGTCACTTTCAGTCCCACTACGAATCCTATGACTGAAACCCTGGATTGTTCAATAGTCTACCTCCTGCCGTTCATCAAGGCCCAGGCCTCTCCCACATGTTTCCTACATATTGACTGTACTTCAGTCCCAAGTTTTGGGAGCCTTGCTTCACCCTTGACAGTTTTGAAGACATGTCCCTTTGGGGATTCAGAGGCAGAATACACTATACATGCTGTAAAAGCTGATGAATGAGAATTCAGTGGTTACAATGTAGGACCTGACAATTTCTGTGGACTGTGGTCTGTAGACTGCTGACGCAACTTTAAGACCTATGTCAGTAGAGAGGGGACATTGCTGGCAATGTCTTTCAACCTTCACTGACTCATGAACACACAGGGGCGGTCGGTTAGCCTAGTGGTTAAAGCGTTCGCTCGTCACGCCGAAGACCCGGGTTTGATTATCGACATGGGTACAATGTGTGAAGCCCATTTCTGGTGTCCCCCGCCGTGATATTGCTGGAATATTGCTAAAAGCGGCGTAAAACCATACTCACTCACTCACTCACTCACTCATGAACACACAAACAAGCAGTTGAATGTCTGAATGCGAGAACAAACTGTTTTGCACCAATATCTCCTATGGACATCATTCCCACAGCATCTTTCCTGACCATTCCTCTTTACCTTATTTTACCAACATTGGACTTCATCTGTCTGAACTCTTCTGGTTCTTTTCTAAAACACCGGACTTCAATCTCACTCTCAACTTCCAGACTACCTTCGTTACTCTCATGATTTGGTTTCAAGACACACTCATATATTTACCCAAAGACACTGTACTTAAAACTCATGTGGTCCTGTTTCTTATAATTGATATTACATCTTCTGCCTTAATGTCAAATCTACCATGCCTGTCTCAATGCACCTTACTTCACTCTCATGTCTCTCAATGCACCTTACTTTACTCTCATGTCTCACTAAATGCACTCTCCTTTACTCTCATGTCTCTCAATGCACCTTACTTTACTCTCATGTCTCACTCAATGCACCTTACTTTACTCTCATGTCTCACTCAATGCACCTTACTTTACACTCATATCTCTCAATGCACCTTACTTTACTCTCATGTCTCTCAATGCACCTTACTTTACTCTCATGTCTCTCAATGCACCTTACTTTACTCTCATGTCTCTCAATGCACCATACTTTACACTCATGTCTCTCAATGCACCTTACTTTACTCTCATCTCACTCAATGCACCTTACTTTACTCTCATGTCTCTCAATGCACCTTACTTCACTCTCATGTCTCACTCAATGCACTTTACTTTACTCTCATGTCTTTCAATGCACCTTACTTCACTCTCATGTCTCTCGATGCACCTCACTTTACTCTCATGTCTCTAAATGCACCTTACTTTACTCTCATGTCTCTCAATGCACCTTACTTTACACTCATGTCACACTCAATGCACCTTACTTTACTCTCATCTCACTCAATGCACCTTACTTTACTCTCATGTCTCTCAATGCACCTTACTTCACTCTCATGTCTCACTCAATGCACTTTACTTTACTCTCATGTCTTTCAATGCACCTTACTTCACTCTCATGTC